CAGTTCTTCAACACCACATCAAAGAGGAAGAGTTCATTGAGGCATTTATAGGAACAAATATTATGTTACTCAAATCCCACAATAAAAAGATAGCAATCAGAACATGATTCTTAGCAGTGATGAGAAAATATATTATTATTAACCAAGGAAGCAAGCAACATTTAAGAGGACAAGCCCAACATCAGCCAGGGGACTTCCTGGTGATTTAGAAATAATAATAGACAGCTGGAAACGGTTGCTTGGCAACAATTCCCATGAATTTCCCAGTGCTTCCCAACAACACCAAATTTGTGCTGACATGGGTAGTTTTTAAGCCTCAGCAGGCTAAGAGGAAGAGGCAGCAGGAGGCTCTCCTGGCATTTGCTTAGGTCAAGAGGCCTCTGGCGTTTGGTCTTTCAGAGGAATGCCATTCTGTATGGTTAAGAACACAAACTGAGACAGAAATCAGTCAGCAAGAGCACCACACTTATAAACACAGACTTGTCTCATCAACTAAGATTAGTGAACTCACAAACTAAGTGCAGCTGAATTTGCTGTGTCTCAACATATGAATCTTAAAAGCTGGCATACACTCAGCTCTTCCCATAATTATTTATTTATTATATACAGCAAACATTCAGTGCCAGAACATAAAATAAACTATAAATATACACAAACACTAAAATCAGTTATCTCCCCTTAAAATAAATTGTTTAAAACCATCTCAGATCAGCCATACCAGATCTGGTCAGCAGGATAGAGTTTCCTATCGCTGCCATATTGCACTGTCTCAAAGGCTTGATCCCACAGCCAAGTTTTTACCATCTTTCTGAAGGACAGGAGGGAGGGGGCTGATCTAATCTCGCCAGGGAGGGAGTTCCATAACCAAGGGGCAATCACTTAGAAGGCCTTCTCTCTCGTCCCTGCCAATAGCACCTGTGACGGTGGCGGGACCGAGAGCAGGGCCTCCCTGGAATTTCTTAATCTCCTCGGTGGTTCATAGAGATACATGCATTCAGACAGGTAAACTGGGCCAGGGCTGTTTGGGGCTTTATAAGCCAAGGCCAGCACTTTGAATTGTGCTCGGTAGCAAACTGGCATCGAGTGGAGCTGATGCAACATGGGAGTTGTGTGCTTCCTGTATGCCACCCCAGTTATTAACCTGGCTTCCTCTCATTGGGCTATTCTTCAAAATCAACCCCACATAGAGTGTGTTGCAATAGTCTATCCTAGATGTAACGAGAATGTGGACCACCGTGGCAAAGTCTGACTTCCCAAGGTATGGGTGCAACTGGTGCACAAGTTTTAATTGTGTGAAAGCCCCATGGCCACCATCTCAACCTGAGGTTCCAGGAGGACTCCCAAGCTGCGAACCTGCGTCTTCAAGGGGAATATAACCCCATCCAGCACAGGCTGTAACCCTATACCCTGTTTGGCCTTGTGACTGACCAAAAGTGCCTCTGTCTTGTCTGGATTCAACTTCAATTTGTTCACTCTCATCCAGACTATCACAGTGGCCAGGCACCAGTTCAAGACCAGGACAGCCTCCTTAGCATCCGGTGAAAAGTACTAGGGTTGGACGTCATCTGCGTACAGATGGCATCAAACTCCAAAACTCTGGATGATCTCAGCCAGTGGCTTCATGTAAACAGCATGGGGAACGATAATGAACCCTACAGTACACCACAGGACAATGGCTGTGGGGCCAGAGTTACTGGTCCAACTGTCCAAGGTTTTGTGGTGGAGGGTTCCAAGATTGGACTTGTGTGCCTTTACATGGAACATATGAATTCTATCACTAAACTATGCCCTTCCAGGTAGGGCATAGTTTGTCATTGTCACAGCTTTTTCTTTCCATACATCTGTGCAGGATGTTATACTACAGTGGTATGTGCCAAGATTTGGTTAAAATCAAAGTTTGCTTTTGAATCTTTTTAACATTTTGAAGCTATAAGAATCCATAGATTGTTTATGAATCTTTTGTTGTGAACCGGCCTGAGTCCCCTTCGGAGGTCGAGAAGACTGGGTTATAAAAACTCTAAATAAATAAATAGATGCAGAATCTGTGGATATGGAGGACTGGCTGTATATGAAGTCTTGTGTACAGGAACCATTTAAACACAATTCTTGAACTTTTGTAGTAGAAATATGGTGCAAGGAGTATCAAGGCAAAGATCAAGGGTTGTAGGGCCAGAGTCTATTTGCTGTGGTTATGAATTGGTCTGTCATAAAACCTCAAGATACATTTAGATCCTGTGTAGATTTTAGATCAATCAGATACCTTCCTAAATAACCAAACATCCATCTTTGGAAGCCCATGGTCTGAACACAGATGCTTATCCCTCTCTCCCCTTCCTCCAACATACATACAGACAATTTCCTGGATGAACTCTCATGCACATTCACACACACGCATGCTTGCTTCAGCCACAAGCCACTCTAGTGACCAGACTCAAGTATCCATATTTGGTAAAACCCTAAAATATATCATACATACCAATTATTTTGTAGAAGGTCATACAAACAGTTCCAAAGACAGTAAATTGTTACATTTCATTAATGTATGAAATTTATGTTTTGTTAGTATGCTTTTGGGCTTTCTTGGCACATCATTAAAATTCTTGTACAACTGTAATCATCACGCACTGCCAGGCGATCATATTTCAGGACTGAGAACCCAGACTGGTATTGCAGTCATCGCAAAACACTGCCTTCTAGGGAGGAAGGGGAAAAGTTTAAATAAGATTCAGAATTTCTGTATATGTGTATTCTCCCAGCATATTTTACCTTTTTTTAAAAAAAAAAGTTAAAAAGTTATAACGTCTAGAATAGTTTTCTCTCTCTTACCTCCCTCTGGGACATCTGGCATCAGTCTTCACTTCCCTGTGCCTTCCGCTCCCAAATATTACTCTTCTCTGTTAGGGATTTCATAGCACTGATCATTTCAAACTGCAGCTACATCCTGGTCAGGAAAGATGAATCATTATTATGGTCTGCTATTAAAGTGAATGAAAGGAGGAACTATATGGGAGCTTGATTTCTTCTCCACCCTTCTCTATAAATGTTTCCTTATTAGACAGAGTGACATTCTTCTCTCAGCAAGCATCTAAATAGCATACATTCCTATTTGCTCTGCTTACAAAACCAGGAGACATACTCTTTGGACGTCTTCTGGTCCCTATTAAATTAAATGCAATTTCTCTCAGTGATTACAGATAGAGTTCCACTCATGTCTCTAGTGAATTAGGTGAAAGTGAGAGTATGAGCATTGTTTCCAATTCAGGAAACTATTACTGATCAGGTGCTTTTGAATAATGCAACCAACCATCTTGGGCAATAGTGGGAGTTGATGGATGGATAGTCCTAAAGATGATGATGATGATGATGATGATGATGATGATGATGATGATGATGATGATAGTAATAATAATGGAGGAGGAGGAGGGCTATTGAAAAAATGTTAGTTTCTTGTTTTAAAGCAGGCATGAGCAAACTTTGGCCCTCCAGGTGTTTTGGAGTGCAACTACCACAATTCCTAGCAGTCTATTGGCTGTTAGGAATTGTGGGAGTTGAAGTTCAAAACACCTGGAGGGCCAAAGTTTGCCCATGCCTGCTTTAAAGGCTATGAAAACCCACTGGGTGACTCTGGACTAGACACACTCTCACTGAATGACAGAGGCAACCCCTCCAAACAAATCTTGTCAGTAAAACTCCATGGCAGTGTTTCCTGAGGGTTGCCCTAAATCACACATGATATAAAGGCATAGGACAATAAATCTGACATCATTCTTTTGCTAGAAAGTAATATCCCCCTCCCCCTCCTTTATACAAAGAGAACTTCGAGATACATTAAAAATTACATATAGGTTTTTTTAAAAGTGAAAGATCATGAAATAAGGAAAAATGAAAGAAGGAACAAAAGAAGCATAACAATAACATGAAGAGAAATTATAATTACTTCCCATTTTCTTTCCAGTGGTTATAAGTCTTAATACATCGATCCTAATGTCTTTAAATAAACAAAACATGTATTTCCTTCACTAATTCAACCCCAATAATTATCAAAACTTAAAATTATCATATCACTCTCTTTATCTCTGCAAAAAAATACAATCAAAGTTTGAATGTCACCAATGATTTTTCTCTTAAGCAAATCAGATAATTTGTGCATTTTATCTAGAACCATGGTTCCCAACCTGTGGCCCATGGACCACCAGTGATCCCCAAGAACTAAAATATGGTCTTCAGCCTCACTGTTACTACACCATTGCAACAAGTGTGACTGGTCTTGTGATACCCTCCTATAGTGCCAAGGCAACGGGGATGTCGGGAGGGGAGAGGCTGACTACCCAAGAAAGGCATGACAACAAGCCTCCTGACTGCTGCTTCTCCTCCTCATCCCTCCTCCTGAGCAGAGCCATTCCATGTGGGGCCTGGAAGTGGGGGTACCTTGGTGTCTTCATTTTTAGGCCTGTTCCTGGGATTATTTGGGGAGCTGATTCAGAAATTTCCATTTGCTAGACCATATCATCTTTAGATGATTAAATATGGTTTAATGTGAGTGAGCAGAGGGTGACTACTGGATGGTATATGTTCTGTATCAGAAACCAGAGCTCTCTCCAATGCAATGTTCTTAATCAGTACCCCAAATAACCAAATTGAATCTAAAGTTGATCAAAAACTGATTTGTAACCCTTTTGGTACTAATGTTGGAGAGTGGTCCCTGTGAAAGTGGTCCCTGGTCAAAAAAAGGTTGGGAACCACTGATCTAGTTGGTTTCATTTTAATAGCCAGTCCTCTTGTTTTTATTACTCTTAATTCATTTCATTTTGTGCAATAGTAGTCACAGTAAAATTATTTCTGGTTAGAAGAATGTAATCTTTTTGTCACAAGTAAATAACAATTTTTATCAGATAAATTCTTATGAGGAAAAGGAGGCAAACAATGACAAGATTTGGGTACTGAATGTTGCTTGTTCTTACATGTACTCAGTGTATATGCATTTCTTTTCTTTCTTCCAGGAAGTTTTATTACATCACTTTGCTGAGAGATCCTGTCTCCCGTTACCTCAGCGAATGGAGGCACGTTCAACGGGGAGCCACCTGGAAAACATCCTTGCACATGTGCGATGGCCGGACACCAACTCCCGAAGAGTTGCCGTCATGCTATGAAGGCACGGACTGGTCGGGATGCACTCTTCAAGAGTTCATGGAGTGCCCATATAACTTAGCCAACAACCGCCAAGTGAGGATGTTGGCTGACCTGAGCTTGGTGGGCTGCTACAATATGTCCTTCATACCAGAAAACAAGCGAGCGCAGATACTGCTGGAGAGCGCAAAGAAGAATCTCAAAGATATGGCCTTTTTTGGGTTGACTGAGTTCCAGAGGAAAACACAGTACTTGTTTGAGAGAACTTTCAATCTGAAATTCATCCGCCCGTTCATGCAGTACAACAGCACCAGAGCAGGGGGAGTGGAAGTGGACAACAACACTATTCGGAGGATCGAAGAACTTAATGACTTGGACATGCAGCTGTACGACTATGCAAAAGACCTCTTCCAACAGCAATACCAGTATAGGAGGCAGCTGGAGCGGATGGAGCAGAGGATAAAAAATCGGGAAGAGAGGCTTCTTCACCGATCTAATGAGGCACTTCCCAAGGAAGAGACTGAAGAGCAAGGACGGTTGCCGACAGAGGACTACATGAGCCATATTATAGAGAAGTGGTAGCCTTGGCAGAATTTTGTACTGAGAACAGGATGTTAGGGTTTCCATAATAAAAAGTACATGGGATTTTAAAGAAAACTCTTATTTAAAAACAGTCTGTAAAACAGAAGGTAGAATGCTTCTTTAAACAAAGGGTCTTTTTACTGTTTCTTATAAGACCAATGGGGTTCTTAAAAAAAATAAAACAAAACAAAAAAAAGAGTCCATCCTAGAGAGCTCAGAGTTCAATGCACAATGTAGTTCCCCCATCTCTGAGGCCAAATACAGTGAAAATGTTTCTTGCCCTTCCAAATGTAAACCTGGAGGTCACAAATTGTTGCTTTGTAGCCACTCTTTCCCCTTAGCAACAATGATTGATCTTCAAAATGTTTCTTTCCCGTGCTCGTGTGTGAGGTTTTCAGCTGTGAAAGCCATGAGAATGGCAGGACTCTGCCAGACAATGAGTGATTTCACCTCAGATTGACTCGACATGGCAACCATGGTCAGAGAGAAAGCAGCCCATTCAAAACAGCTAACCGAAAAGGAAAAATAGAGAGTGAGAAATATTCAAGCAAACAGACTACAGCCTGGACCACAGATCAAGCACAGAAGTTTGGATACATGACACTGGTGTCTTGCATGCATACTCTCTCATTGCATTACTCAAGCTACTGGTAAATGTATACACAAATACCTGCACCCTTTGCCTTATAGGTGATTGTCCCAAACCTAATCAGTTCCCGGCCATGAAAATAGGTGATCATATACATATGATACATATTCACATAGAAATCCTTTGTAGACGTAGATGGTGTGCACCAATTACTCATCACACTCAGAAAGGAGATAATTCATTTAGGGTGATTATGTTCCACATATACACTTCTGTATCATTATCTGCTTGATAGGTCTCCTGCTTGTGCTTGTTTATGCTCAGGAACACTTCTTGCTTCCAGTTGGGACATTGATTTAATTAGATGCAAATATTCAAAGTTCAGATTGCTCACTGGTTGAAACTAATTGTTGTCCTCATTACCAGTGAGTACTTTACAATAAAAGTTAGACACTCTCAAATTTCAGGTGGGAAATGGACACATAAACTCTAATGACTTCAGTAGGGTTTAAATACAATTAACTTTTGCTCGACTGCATTCACTAGTTGTACAACTGTTGCTGTGTTGAACTTAAAGAGGCACATTAGATCCCACTGTTCTCCACAGGACTGGCAATGCCTGTCTTGCCTTTTTATTATTGAGCAAAGGATTTGGAAGACTGGAAATCCTGATTGCTTCAAGCTTGGGTTTTACGAGGCTTTGATAACCACAATATTATTTTTCTTTTCCCTTCCCAACACCATCTAAGCTTTTGTTTGGAGAGCATCCGGTGATCATTTATTTGATCTTTCTCATCAAAAGCACAATTTTTCATTGCTTTCTAAACACTTATGTGAGTTGATCTGAACAAGATGAATGAAGCAGAATCAACATGTGTTTGCCACCTTCTGTACTTATTAGGATGTAAATGGCTAGGTTGTAGGCAAAGTCTGAATAAGCTATCAATAAGCTTGAGTCTCAAAGGATGGGCTCACTGCATCTCACAAAGAGAACTGAAAATATAGAAGGAGAGACTGATATATGTGTGCGTGTCCCAGTGTGTCTTTCAGCATAAAGAAGCACTGAAAATTCCCATGGTTTGTAATTGATTTCTCCATCCCTTGCTCATTCTATGTATGCACAGTTTCCAAAGCCTTGGAATTCAAACTGAGGTGTGTGCGTTGTTTTTCCTGAACGAGAGAGTCATCTCTCTTGTGCAAAGATTTGCCGGATTTAAATACACACAGAAAGCTATTGCTTAAGCATTCATAGTCTCATCCAGTCAATCAATGAGTGTTACTCAGAAAAAATATGAAAGGAATGCCCAGTAGAATGCAAACTCACACCAATTTATTAGAAAATCTGCCCATTGTTTCAGTATCCATTGGATGAACTCCAATATCCAAGTGCGCCCAATTGCCCATATATTGAAAAATATACATGTCCTTAAGTCCTTGGCCATGTCCATCTATTTATCAGTGCTGGAGCTATTTGCTGTCCCTTGCATGTGCCTCTTATGTGATTCCACACAGAAAGCCTTCTTCTTTTCTGAGTTAAGCACATTTGGGTAAAAACAATTTACCCCTGAGGTTTAGGAAAGACACCTCTCACGTCTTACATTGCCTAAATGTTATATGAGGGCGCAGGAAGAGGAAAACAGCATGCTTAAAATGCTACATTTGGAAATTAATGACACTTTGCTATTTCCCAGGCATTTCTGTAACTAAAGAAAAACCTTTACAAATGCTATTACACATTCTCTTTACTCATATAACATATGTGAGCTATGTGAAGCAGCTGTTCTGTATGCAGAACATTAGCTTTATCCAAAGGCTTTCCACTGTGCATTTATAGTTATGGATCTATACTCTAAAAATGGTTGCAGATGCTAATCCATATTCATAGTATGAATACTAGGGAACTTACTGTGTTATACTTCGAACAATTAGAAGCAAGTTCCAAAGGCCAAAATACGCTTCCACGCATTGTGTGGTCAAAGATGAAGGCTAAATATTTATTCTTTGTGTCTCAATTTAATTTCCAAAACAAATCTAAACAAACTGAAATGGATCTGCCTGTGGGAACCTTAGATCTTTGGGAATACCAGTCAGAGGTTTTCTCGAGCATTTTCTTTATGTAATATTGTTATGACTACATTCTAAGGAAATAAAACTACTGAATATTGTTATCAGTTTCTCTTAAATCTGCCAAAGGAAGGTGGGTGGGTGTTCAGTTTGTTTTACCTGCAGATGTGGAATCAGAGTGAGTAGATCTCAGTTTAAAGTTCCAGCTCTAACACATTAACTGGTGTCCTGTTAATGACATTCACAAGCGTAAACCTACCTTGTATTTGCATATTTGTCACGCTGGTGGTTGGTATTTTCTCATATGTCAGTGCAGCAGTCTTTCTCATGCCCATTCCGTAGCCAGTGGAAAGAGGGAACAGAAAATTTAGGTAAAGGCAAGGGTTTCCCCCAACATTAAATCCAGCTGTGTCAGACTGGGGGTTGGTGCTCATCTCCATTTCTAAGCGAAGACCCAGCGTTGTCCGTAGACATCTCCAAGGTCATGTGGCCAACATTAGTAAACATCACATAATTATTTTAGTTTAAAACACCGCCATTGTTTGGAAGGAACACAGGATTTAATAGTTAGAAGGCAGGGAAAAATCTGCAGTCAGTTAGATCAGTAGTTCTCAACCTGTGGGTCCCCAGATGTTTTGGCCTTCAACTCCCAGCAATCCTAACAGCTAGTAAACTGGCTGGGATTTCTGAGAGTTGTAGACCAAAACACTTGGGGACCCACAGGTTGAGAATCACTGAGTTAGAGAAAGTATGGGAAATTAGCTGAAGACTGTGTGTGCCTTCATTTCTGACTAAGGTGAACCCATCATGGGGGTTTCTTGGCAGGATTTCTTCAGTAGGGGTTTGCCCTTGCCTTTGCCAAATTCTGAAAGAGTGTTCCCTACCCAAGGTTTCCATGGCTGATCTAAGATTCAAACTCCAGTCACTCAAGTCATAGACTTTACCCTAAATTAGTGTAAGAGCTGGTATGAAATTACATGGTGAAGCTTTCACTAACAGCAATTGTGTTTCATGGGGTAACATTGTGGGAATATAGCACAGTGGAATTTATATCAACTATTTGGTGTGATACCAGATGTTTTAAGTGCAGATGAATGTTCTTGGAAAAGAAAAACATAGCTTAAAATGTGACGTACAAGAACTGCCTCACCCTCAAATCAGTCACAATTCTGTAAAAGAAGGTTCATTTTTTTATAATTCATGCCATTTACTGAACTTTTCATATATTGAGAGCAACACCTTATAATAACATCTGCAGTTGTGATACCAGAAAAGCCTGGATGCCTGAAAAAGCCCACTGCGGCCACTTTTACATCAGCATGTTCATTTAGCTGTGCAAGTAACTACAGAAACAGGTTTGAAGTCTCAGACTTCAAGCAGAGGACTGTGAATTGCAAACCAGCCACCTGAAGCAAGACTGGAGGTAGTTTGTCACCAAAACGTGACGTTAGCGTTTATTCGAGTTCAATCAAATAGATCAGAGGAAACTTAGAAGGTGCTCAATCTGATCCCAACTTAACAAAGCATTTTTCTGTATAACCTGAAGTGTTTCCTGAGTGACACAGCTGCAGGACTATTTTCAGGAAAAAGGTATAAATAGTCATGGTTTTGGATGAGTAGCACTCCTGAATAATACTGATGGCAATTTCCCCTATAAAATAGTGCTAAATAGAGAAGTTGTGATTGGGGGAGAGTTGTGTTCTTACTAAAGAATTATATACCTAAAAAAATGGAGCGCTCTTTGCTCTTTGACAGCTACCATTGCTGTCACATCTGTTCTGACTATTGAGTACTTATAGGAGATCGACACAATAGAGCAGGGGTTCCCAAACTAAGGTCCGGGGACCAGATACGGCCCTCGCTGAGGATCAACCTAAGTCTGAAATGACTTGAAAGCACACAACAACATAAATCCTATCTCATTAGCCAAAAGCAGGCCCACACTTCCCACTGAAATACTAATAAGTTTATGTTTGTTAAAATTGTTCTTCATTTTAATTATTGTATTGTTTTAAAGTGTTTTTTGCACTACAAATAAGATATGCGCAGTGTGCATAGGAATTCATTCATGTTTTTTTTCAAATTATAATCCAGCCCTCCAACAGTTTGAGAGACTGTGACCTGACCCTCTGTTTAAAAAGTTTGAGGACTGCTGCAATAGGAACTGAATTTCTAGGCTCAGGAGCAATATGCCTCTCGATACCAGCTGCTGGGGTGCAGGAAGAGAAAAGGCCTATTGCTTTCAAGCTTTGCTTATCTTCCCGTCATTGCGGAGAACAGTTTATTGGGCTCAAGTTATTGTTGCTTTGATCCATCTCAGAATTTCATGTCATTAACAAGCTGAAGTGTGCATTGAGACTCCCTTGGCCCCATTGCCATTTTGTGCAGAACTACAATGAAGCTGCAGTAGCAAAGTCCGTACAGTATTACATCTCCCCTTCCATCATCTCACTAAATGTTGCTACAACCTGTGCGAATAGATGTCTGTATTTGTAATTACTTTTCTTTCAGTCTGCAGAAGATTCAGGTTTTGTGAGGAAAGGTAATTCTTTCTCAACCTTTTTTCCTTTGAGAGAGCCCTTATATAGCACATATTATGTTCACAACTCAAAACATCATTTTTCCCATCACAATCTTTCCAATCTCAATGACCTTTCCAGACCCTAAAGTTCTAGAAGACCTCGAATGAGAAACAGATAACAGCAATAGATAATTGGACATCATGATTTTCAGGTTTTTGTAAAGTTTAACAACCTTGCAATGAATGATTCAAACAAAGTGTATGCTGCCCTTTAAATTATAAAATCCAGGATCTCTTTGTCACAAAGAGGAGGAAGCTTACCTATGCAAATAGTGTTGATTCCAGTTCATCATGCATTGTCCCTGCTATGGACACTTTTGGTGATGACAGCTTGGAATGAGAGCCTTAATGTCTCCAGTCCTAACTGCTGCAACCATCACTGAACCATATTATCTGCACACAGAACCCCTTTCTCATCCAATCCTCTTTCAGTCAGAATCCATCTGAGAAGCCAACAAAGCAAACCAGTATATAGATTTGATAGGCCATGGGCCTCACTCTGAGTCAAACTGAGTGCAAAAACGGTTAGGACAGTAGGAATTCTTTATATATAGTCGCATACAAATACATACCAACTAGAAGGACATGGAAAGAGGGTCAACTGGAAGCTTACATGGCTTTAGTTAGGCAAGGCACTGATTTCCCTCAGCTGGAAAGCTATCATTTCAGATCCAAAAAAATGCTATTTTGGACCTGAATCTCCTAGCCAGCAGTAACTTTTCCAACGTCTGCCAAAATTCAGTGACTGAGCATATGTTTTGCATGCTGAATGTCCCACATTATTTCCTGCCATCTTTCTTTAAAAGAAAGTAAATAGCAACATTAAAATCATCTGACATCCATTCTTCAAAGGCTTCACTAATCAGTGAAGACAACACCGGGCAACTTGGTATACTAAACTTCCTTTGATCTGGCTGCCCTTGCTATCAGTTTCTTGTCATGTTGGCTTTCAAAGTCTCAGTCCATCTCCTGGGTAGAAGAAGGAAGGTTTTTACTCAGGCAGTCCTTTGCTCTTACTCATGGATGGGTTGATGTGTCTATCCTGTAAAACTCTGCATGAATTCCTTACCAAAGATACACAGAGAAGGCTATCTGTAGTGAAAGAAAGACTTGTTCAGCATGGCACAGATCTTATACTGGAGTAGTTAATATAAATCTCTCCATACTGGGTTATACATTAATCGTGCCTTGTGACCCTTGTATTGAATGGTAATAGTACACAATGGAATGCACAATCCAATGTACAATGATCCATACAATCAAATGCCCAGTAAAAGGATTCCTGCTTCTGGTTTCAGCAGGGGCAGATGGATACACACCAGCTGGGAATGGTCATCTACATGCCCACTAGCACTGCATGGGCATCTCTACTTAGGCATCCTTTAATTGAATATGGATGTTATATACTGGACAAGAAATATCATTCATTTCAATAAGGGAACTTACACAGATGTAGATACCAGCAAGATTCCAGCTAGACCCATGTGGTCATTTTAAAAAATGGACACAGAGAAGACGCTTTCTCACCAATGTTTGGAAACTTCTTCCTACATGAAAAAAACCCTAATGTCTTGATCAGATATACATCTGGTATTGTAACAATCTGGAAAGTAGGATTGTGCATTTTGGGTGAATCACCTCACTATCCATTTCTGCTTGCCAAATACTGGAAGCCCCCCATATCCATTTTAGAGAACTACCATTTTAGTTCCATATCCAGAAAAATTGGTCTTCTTGGTACATTGGTGGCAATGAGGAACTTACGAGGCTCCCCTTTCTCCTGGAAGCCTTTCCTTTCTTCCCTTCAAGGGAACTTGGGTGTCAGCAATGGGGTTAAGAAAGCACCCTTCCTGTGGGCCTTTGCTTTTTTTTTCCTTTCTCCCCACCCACTGTCCCTCAGGTCCCCAACTCCCAATCAGTCCCACTAAATAAAAAGAATCAGGAAAATAAAAGAAAATCAAAAAGATTCAACTGTGATGCCCAATAGGGGAGAAGGAGCCGAGATTGGCTCCCGCTTTCTTTCATGTTGGGTGGGTTTTGTACCAGGAGGGCCCTTACCATTTTGAGCACCTGTACCAAAACAGATAAGCCAACTAGCCGAACAGACCGACTAAAAACGGATCTGTGTACCTGTCTACTGGATGGTCGTCTTGAAACTTCATCTAATAACTTTCCTAGAAACTATTAGTAAGTAAGTGGTATCATTATAATCAGTGTTACAAGAATTCAGTAGATCAGCAATTGAATAGTTTGTTCAGATTCTCATCACTCAATCTACCTAACAACACTATGTAACAAAATTGGGGGACAAAATCTGTTCCTGGTTTGACAGTGTTCTTTCCTGTTTAACTGTGCGGTGCTTACTTTGAAAGTAGTTGTTATACTCCAGAATTTTTTTGTGGCTGAGGGTAGTACTATTATTTTCTAGGCACTTCGTAATTTTCCTTAATGAAAATATATCATTTTTAACCTTTCAGTGTGCAGAATGCAACCAAGTTTTTGCAGTTTAATATACCTTTTCCA